CCCCTGGAGGCAGATCTCACCTGCTCTCTGTGGGGCAGTGGATCTCCCCTGGAGGCAGATCTCGCCTGCTCTTAGGCCTTCTCCCCTGGCCTGGAGTGGCCTGAAACCCAGACCTGCCTCCTCCCTGGAGCAGTTTCTGCAGGGCTGCTCTCTGGGGACAAATCCTACCCATTGCCTTTGTCAGAGGAAGTCCTTCCTTTGGCTTCACATTTGACACACAGCTTGCTGGACGGGGGCTCCTTGCCCTACCTCTGGCTATCCTGAGTCCTGGCAGCCTGAAGCAGCCTTGTCCTGCTGCCCCGGGTCGAGGCTGGAGGTGTCCTCAGTTTCTTGGAGCTGTGGTTTGGTGTCCATCTTTAAATCAGGAAGTTTTTCAGTCAATACTTATCACTTGACCTTTTATGGTCCTTTCTTTTTCCTAGGCACATGGCCAGTGCCTGTGACCATGGTACCTTCCTATCCCTGTTTTCCTGCTCCTCCCTTGCTCCCTCCTTTTGCTTTCCCGTCTGGGCATTCTACTTATGGCCTGTGGGCCAGCCTGCCTGAGGTGCTGTCGTTCCCTGCAGGGGGCCAGCCTGCCTGAGGCGCTGCCGTTCCCTGCCACCGATGCCCGGTTCCCCCAGCCTTCCCCAAGGGCCACCTTCTGCAAACCCGCCTTCTGTTCCTTCATATTGGCCCCCTCCTCCATCGGGGCCATAGCTCACTAATAGTTGCTGTTTTATATTCCTGGTCTCATCATTCCAAATCTGCCATGTTCTTGTCCTTCCTTTATTTTTTTTTATTTACTTAGTTGTAGATGAACACACAGTATCTTTATTCATTTTTATGTGGTGCTGAGGATTGAACCCAGTGCCTCACACATGGGAGGCAAGCGCTTTACCACTGAGCTACATCCTCAGCCCGTTAGTGTCCTTTCTATACACTGACAACAAAGTGTCCAAAAAAAAAAAAATTAAGTAAACAATTCCATTTAAAATACCATCAAAAAATAAATTAGTAGGGAACTTAACTAAGGAAGTTTTGAAAATTATAAAGCATTGGAAAAAGAAACTGAAAACACAAAAAGATGGAAAGTTATCCCATGTTCATGAATTAGAGGAATTGATGTTTTAAAATGTCCATGCTCTCCAAATCAAGCTGTAGGTAGGGTCAGTGGAATTCCTATCCAAATTTCAGTGTCATTCTTCACAGAAATAGAAAAAAAGACAGGACTGAAATTGGTTCAGAAGCACAGAATACTCCAGTGGCCAGACAGGACAGAGCGGCCCAGGGGCCGTGTGCTGGCTCTGCCTGCGTCTCTCCGACTGTGTGTTCTGCTCTCTCTTTCGTAGGCCTTGCAGTTTTTCTGGATGCCAGGCACCACGCTGAGGTGAAGGCAAGAGAGGCAGCCCTGTGCGGCCACACCTAGGCCCAGCTGGTGCCAGTCTACGCTCACCATGGGCGGAGCTGAGCACTGGGGGCAAGTGGCCCTCAGGCCTCCCTCCTGTCCCTCACAGCTCTGTGGAACTGCGGGAGCCTTCTTCCTGCTGAAGAGCCCGGAAGATACAGGAAGAGGCGTCCTCCGGCCCTGGGCCTGGGTCTCCTTGCTCAGGGAGCCAGTGTCCTGGGACTGTGACCTCTCAAGCACTTCTTGCTCCTTCCCCTTTGTGACCCCGCAAGGCTGGAGGCCCACACTGGCCTTCCCTGTGACCTCAGTCCCCTGAGGGGTCGATTTCCAGTTTGTTGGACCTTTCCTTGTCAGGGTGCATGGGCTGGCAATGGCCACACCCTTCACAGCTGCACCAGGAGCCAGGAGACTGGTGTCCTCCTCCTCCACATCCCACTGTCCAAATGTGCCCTTAGACCTGCTCACTAGCGTTAATCCAGCCACTCTCCAGTGCTTGAAAGAGATCTTTTAAATGGTTTGAACTTTTTGCTTTGTAATAAATAATTTATAATAAATAATTTGCGTACACATTATAACTTTTAAAATATTTGCATTATCTTCAGGATCTTAATCATTTTCAGATATGTCTACTGAGTTTTTGGGTTCTTTTTTTCCCCTAAACATTTGTCAATCTTAATATTGCCAAACATATGGAAGCATTTTAAATACATAGATCAAATTCCTGAGTCTGAAAATAATAAGTCCTGTGGGAGGCTGGATGGACACATCCTCTGAGCAATTCCTCCCACACCTCTGCCAGCCAGACTTTCCTCCAAACGCACCTCATGATCACAGAGAAATACAAAAAGAGCACCTTCTAAGAAAAGTGGCACTTAGCTTGTTTCATAAAAAATAGATGCTCATTAATACAAGATTTCGTAGGTACACCTGGTGATGCAGGACTCTGCACAAATGTCAAGCAAGGGCAGCTTTGTTTGTGGCTTACAGGAAGCTCACAGCCGAGGGACCAGGGTGCCCCCCCCCCAGAATTGAGGCTCTGGTTTCCAGCAGAGAGAAAGAGCCTTGAGAATCACACCCACCTGGGGAGAGACCTCCAGGTCAGTAACCGGAGCCCCCTTCAGGACTGTGATTGGAAGCTGGCAGTCAGTTCCTCACCAGAAGGACACTTAGCCGCACCCTTATTTGCCCCATCACAAAACAAGGAGGCATGAGTGGAGCATGCCCAGCATCAAGGTGGGGGTGCAGAGACGGCCGTGCCACGTCCTCCTTCCCAGCCCTTGCCCCTTGCAGAGGGACTCTGGCAGCTGGGGCACCTGAGGCACTTGATTTCTTCTTGTTCTGTGAGAGTGGGGAAAGCAAGCAGCCATCGAGGCACAGAGGTCCTGGTGGGCACAGAGGGCATGAAGGCATGGAGGGTATGGGGCACAGGGGGCATGAGGGCCACCAAGGGCACAGAGGGCCTGGTGGGTACAGTGGGCACAAAGGGCATGGAGGGTATGGGGGCACAGAGGGCACAGTGGGCTCAAGGGCCTGGTGGGTACAGTGGGCACAGAGAGCATGGAGGGTATGGGGGCACAGAGGGCACAGTGGGCACAGAGGTCATGGTGGATCCAGTAGACACGGAGGGCATGATTGATATGGGGCATGGTGGGCACAGTGGGCCTGGGGGCATGATGGGCAT